CTTAAGCGCTCGGCTGCTAACCAAAAGGCTGGAGATTCCAACCTACCCAGCGGCTTCTCAGGAGACCTGGTGAACTGCTCCCATAAAGATTACAGCCTCGGAAGCCCTATGGGGTGGTTCCACTCTGTCCTGTAGGGTTACTAGCATCAGAATCAGCTGGACGGCACCTAACTACAAGAGCTCCCTCCACCCAAAGGTTCCCGGCTGTTTACATTAAAAACACGGATTAGAAATACAAATTCTGGCTTTGTCGGTGTAGGTATTCGCTGCTTGACCCAATAGATGGATTCTGCAAAGTTACAGGTGGATCAAATTTTTATAAGTCAAGCCATGTTTCAAATTCATGGGATGAATCCTCTATAAAACAAAGGCTTATACCTGAATGTATCCATTCTATCAATCTTAACAGCCGTTTATTTCCTTAAAGGTATACAGCTGTGACCCCGACTAAAAAAAAAAACAGTTGTCATCGTCAATTCCAACTCATGGAGACCCCATGTGTGTCACAGCAGGACTGTGCTCCATAGGGTTTTCAGTGGCTTATTTTTCAGAAGTAGATTGCAAGGCCTTTCTTCCGAGGCATCTCTGGGTGGACTCGAACCTCTAATCTTTTGGTTAGCAGGTGAGCACTTAACTGTTTCTGCCACTCGGGCTGCTGTGACCAGGATTAGAGGCATAGAAATAGCAGTTGTCAACAAGGAAAATTACCCTGTACGCTGCAACCTATATAGAACGATGTCCAGAATTCTTCAACTAAGTTGAAGGAACACTTTTCTAAAAGAACCCAGAATGGCTGTCCCTACTGAAATGAAGAAATTCAGCCAGAATGCTCCTTAAAAGCAAAGATGGCGAGACTCCGTCTCACCTACTTTGGACATGTTATCAGGAGAGATCAGTCCCTGGAGAAGGACACCATGCTTGGTAAAGTAGAGGGTCAGCACAGACCAAAAAAACCAAACCCGTTGCCATCGAGTTGATGCTTGAGAAAAGCCTTTTTATTTATTTTTGGGAGGTGTAGGGTAGAAAAGCATTGATGTTACAAGCTTTTTGAGGTACGGGAAGATGACAAGGGGGACAAAAGGACAGGAAGATTGTCAGAAATGAGAAGATTAGGCCATCCAAGACAAACTTAGCCAACCTAGTGATCTTATCTAGGGTTCACACCTGACTCGATTCTTTCCATTTCCATCTTGTGAGAGAAGGGTGGAAATGTGGGAAAGGGAGAACGAGTCTAGGGCTGGGTTCTGTCTGCACTTACCTAATTAAGGCCACTATAAAGCATGTGACAGCTGTGGAATAAATTTAACAACAGCAGCAGAGATTCAAACAAGATGCCCCCTGAGTTTCTGCAGCATACACATAGTAAAATTCTAATCTAAGTTCACCATAGCTTTTTCCTCAAACAAGCCATAAAATTGATCAAAGAGTCTATGGAAGTATCCTGATCAAAAGGGGGAAAATGCAGAACAGAACTTCAAGTTCTCATAGAATCCAGACTTTCTGGATCCATGGAGGCTGGATAAACCCCTAAAACTATTTCCCTGGGATAATCTTTAAACCTTAAAACCAAAAATATCCTCCAAAATCTTCTTAAAACCGAACAATAGCTTAGCTTAACTAGTAAAGACTGTCTGCCTTGTGCACTGTGCTCTTTTAAGAACGATCTCTACGCGATCAAACCAACAGCAGTAACTTGAAAGATTAGACAGCAAGCTTTGGGGGCAGTGAGTTTATTTTCACGGGGGAGGAACAACTCAGAAAAGGAGGGTGAGAATGGTTGCACAACTCGAAGAATGTGATCAATGTCACTGAATTGTACATGGAGGAATGGTTGAATTGGTGCATGTTTTGTTCTGTATATTCTCAGCAACAACAACAAAAATAAAATAAATTATCTATGTTTTTTGAAAGTCGTAAAATATGGTGGCTTGGGAGCCAAGAGAAAGGGCTGCGGCCAAACTGGAGGGAAGTGTTTTCATTCCCAAGAGCAGAGACCTGGCTTCTAACAGGTGGTCCTGGTATTTCCACAGGGCACAGGATAGCTAAAGAATATTCACTCTAACTTTTTCTTAAGATGCCACGCAGGGTCCACAGTAATCCGTCCAGACTTGTCTCCTCTGCACTCCTACGTTTCTGAATTATCCAGCACACACGAGCGCACTCCCAGCCTGCTGTGATGTAATTAAGGGATAATGTTTGCAGCAGGGAGTGCAGAGTCGTAAATGCCTCCTGGGGGTGATTAAATGCTGAGGGGAAGCTGAATAACTGTAGGATTTTCTCGATGCAAGTTTAACCCAATGCCACGGGTTTTTTTCAGTTATAGGATAAGGTTTGTAAAAAGAAACGAAGCACTCCATCCCTAAGCTTTCCTGTCCCTCTAGGGGATGGAAAATTGAACCTACTGCACCCTGGGGATGCTGGTGGGTGTCTTATCTGGGAGCCGCGTTTGGGCTGAGTTTCTATTCAAGAAATGGGGGTAGAAAACAAAGAACTAGCTCTGGAAGGACTAAGGGGGGAGGGAGGGGGGAACGAGTGTGTACCTCGTGAATCTTGAAAGGAAAAGGCACATTTCTAACTGTAGGTAGTTGATTATATTTCTCATGTCATTTTTAACCTTGACTAACTACTCCCTTGGTCCCTGGGTGGAGCAGAAGGTTAAGCGCTTGGCTGCAACCCAAAGGTTGGAGTTAGAGTCTACCCAGAGGTGCCTTGGAAGAAAGGCCTGGCGATCTACTTCTGAAAAATCAGCCTCTGAAAATCGTATGGAGCACAGTCTTGCTCTGACACACACAGGGGCAACAGGAGTCAGAATCGACTTGATGGGAACCCGTTAACTACTCACTTATCCTCTCTGGATCTCAATTTCGTCACCTGGAAATGTGGAGGGTAGGGGTAGGGAGAGTTCGGATTCCTGAGCTCCAAGGTTCTTTGCATGTCAGTCCCACGTGTGTCATCCTGGGAAGTGCAGGTGAGGATCTGGGGAAATGGGAATGCTCATGCGTTGCTGGTAGGGCTGCAAGCTAGTACAATTTGGGGGGGAAAATAGCCGTGTGAAGAAAACTGGAAATGCATATAACTGGTGAGCCAGTAATTTCGATTTTAGGCATTTTCCTTAGGGAAACTTTCACACATGTGCACAGAGACACAGACAAAAAATTTTCACTGTAAGAGCAAAAGCTAGGGAAAAAAATGTTAGCTAGATAAACATCTATAATAGGGAAGTGGATAAATAGAACATGGCCTAGTCACACAAAGAGATACTACACAGCCATTAGAAAGAATGACTAAGCTCTATATAAGCCACTATCGGTATTTCTGTAACACACGCTGGTAGAGTCCCACTGGCTACATTTGTGAAAATCCGTGTAACTAAAAAAGAAATGCGTATAACTGAGCGTCACACATTGAGTCTTACTGAATTAATAAAATTCATGAGTCTACAGTAGTACTCGAAGGAGCCATGGTGGCACAACAATTAAGCGCTCAGCTGCTAACCGAAACGTTGGAGGTTCAAAGATCTGACGATCTGCTCCCGTGAAGATTACAGCCAAGCAAATCCTATGAGGCAGTTCGACTCTGTCACGTGGGGTCACTGCGTTGGAGGTAACTCGACGGCATACAACCACATCAACAACAATCACACAGTAATACTCAAACAAAAATCATACCTGAGTGGAAAAAAAAGCAAAGTGCAGTGAAACATATACAGTGTGAAATCAGTTACGTACATGGAATTAGGTAAAAATAATCTCATCCAGTGTTCACAGGTACATATATGAGTGTGAAACCTGGAGAATGTGGGACGAAGGACACACAGAGGTTCTTGGTAACCGTGACATTTGGGAGACAAGACAGAGGCCTGCCACTAGACACTGGGGATGAGGGGACTTCGACGTAATCTGTATTAGTTTATTTCTTGTATATAAAAACAACAAAAAACCCAGCAACAAATGTTAACAACAAAATACCATTTCTGGATGGTGGGGGAAAGGTGCTTGTTATAGCATTCTTTTCTGCATTTAAAAAAAATTGTCAAAATACATAAAGGACATGAGCAGCAATGCCCTGGGCAAGTGTGTGCTGGCTGCGCCCCTTCCCAGCCCAGTGTGGATGGTCAGGTGGCTGCAGGTGGCATTGAGAAACGGAGGCAGCCTTATCTTTTCAGGTCCCTATGGTATGGCTCTGTGCTGTCCAGTAGGGCCACCTGCCACATGCAACTACTTGGATTTAAATGAATTAAAATTAATCAAAATGTCAGCTCCTCCCTCACACTGGCCACATTTCACGTGCTAAATAGCCACACGTGGCTCGCGGCTATCCTCCGGGCAGCGCAGACCTAGATCGTTTCTATCACTGCGAGGAGTCCTACTGGACTGAGCTGGTGTAGAGAGCAACAGCTGCCTTTCAAGCAACTAGAACATGTTTGGCCCATTGTTTTTTTGCTATTTCGTCCTTCTGCACATAGAAAAACCAAGATAACAACGGTGGTTGTTGTTAGGTGCCGCTGAGTCGCTTCTGACTCATAGCGACCCTACGCGCCCCGGAACGAAACACTGCCCGGTCCTGCACCATCCTCACAATTGTTGTTATGTTTGAGCCCATTGTTGCAGCTACTGTGTCAATCCATCTCATTGAGGGTCTCCCTCTTTTTCGCTGACCTTCTACTTTACCAAGCATGATGTCCTTCTCCAGGGACTGGTCCCTCCTGATAACAGGTCCAAAGTATGTGAGATAATGACTAGGAGGTATTTTTCATTTCTGGAAAGATTATGTCCACTCTGGTCCTAAATTATGATGATGACCGAAGTAACGGCCTCTTGTTAAAGAGACTTGGATAAACCATGTTTAGAAAGAGATCTAGCAATTATAGTTATGCAGACACGTTTCATTTTCCCCCAAATTTAGGAAGTAGGAAGACAGGCTGAAGGACAATGAAAGCATTATCCAAACAAAACTCAGGATGTGGGTGCTATGGTTTCCCAGAAGCCTCCGTCTCTCACCTGTACACAGTATGAGGGACGTACACCTCCCGGGTCGGAAACTCCAAAATCTCTTTGTGTGGACGTGTTCGGTTTTCAGAAAATGGTCTCAGTGGCAACATTTCAGGAGTCAGACAGCAATTGAGTATCTCCGGAGCTGGGGAAATTTCCAGTCTAAGCAACCCTAAAGGGAAAAAATAGGACTATTTTAGTAAAGAAACGGCCACGTTACAAGGGAACTGTGGAAGGGTGTTTGTTGTACGCTACATTCTTTTAGGAGCGTAAGTATAGGCTGGGGGAGTCTAAGAGTTTTGGAATTCTCAGTATTTTCCTATAGTTTGAGAAAACGCATGTCACGGCAACATTTTGAGCTTTAGTTTCTGTAAATTAAAAAGTAAGAAGCTGTAAAACAAGTAGGGATGCATTAGATGATCTTCAAAGTCCCTTCTGGAACTGCTACTCTATAACAGTACATACTTAAGTAGCTTCCACACATTGCGAGCATTAAAAATTGGTGGTTTTCAAACTGAGTTCCCTGGTACCCTAGGGTGCGACAGAAGTGCCTCAGGAGTTACTGGGCTGAGGATGAGGATGGTGCACTCACCTTCAACCAGAGAATCAGACTCTTATTTACTTTTATAACAGGGTTCCATATACTATTTCATTTGAAAAAAAAGGGCATACGCAGGGCTGCCACAAGTCAGAATCGACTTGAGTTTGGTTTTTTGTTTTTGTTCAAACAGTTATCTGAGAGCCCTGATCTAAAGCATGGTCTTTATTTACAGAAGCAATCTTTAAAAAAAAATTAAAAAATTGAAAAATTAACAGATTTGTCAAAAATGCAGACCAAGTCAGATTTCTTAACCGTTCAAGTAAAATCCCACATTTCACTTGGCAAACGTGGTTTTATAAATCCCAGCAGGAGATACATAACTCGTCTATCATCCTGGCTCTGGCACAGTGGCAGAGGACACAGACCAGAATCCCCACCTGGAATGGACTTGACCCTTCTCTGCAAGGATGAAGACCTTTTGTAGTCAGCTAGGAACTTGAACAAGTCTTCGTCACTCAGGCGATCTCCTTCCTGCCAAGAGAGACGTCATGTTAGTGTAGATGGGCTGTGGAGTCTTGGGTTAGGGGCCAACGATCTCTGGGTAGCCTTTTTTTTTTTTAATTGTGCTTTAAGTGAAAGTTTACAATTCAAGTTAATCTCTCATACAAAAATTTATACACACCCTAGTTGCTCTCCCTATACTGTGACATCACACTCCTCCTTTCCACTCCAGATTCCCTGTGTCGATTCAACCAGCTCCTGACCCTCTCTGCCTTCTCATCTCACCTCTGGACAGGAGCTCCCCGTTTAGTCTCATGTATCTACTTGAGCTAAGAAGCACTCTCTTCACGAGTATCATTTTATGTCCCATAGTCCAGTCTAATCTTTGCCTGAAGAGTTGGCCTCAGGAATGGTTTTAGTTTTGGGCTAACAGAGAGTCCAGGGGCCATGTCTTCCGGGGTCCCTCTAGTCTCAGTCAAACCATTCAGTCTGGTCTTTTTACTAGAATTTGAGTTCTGCATCCCGCTTTTTTCCTGCTCTGTCAGGGACTGTCTGTTGTGTTCCCTGTCAGGGCGGTCATTGGTGGTATCCGGGCACCATCTAGTTCTTCTGGTCTCAGGCTGATGAAGTCTCTGGTTTATGTGGCCCTTTCTGTCTCTGGGGCTAATACTTTCCTTGTGTCTTTGGTGTTCTTCATTCTCCTTTACTCCAGGTGGGTTGGGACCAATTGATGCATCTTAGATGGCCGCTCACTAGCTTTGAAGATACCAGACGCCACTCACCAAAGTGGGATGCACAACATCTTCTTAATAAACTTTGTTATCCAGTTGACCTAGATGTCCCCTGAAAGCCTGGTCCTCTGGGTACCCTTTTATCTTTAAGTTTTTTCCCTAACCTGTCTTGCACAGAAATTAGAATTAGAGGCAACTCTGAAATATTTAGTTCAACCTCTTGTCAAATATTCCTGCTCTACCCATCCCAACCCAGCCTCTCATCCTGCCATCGAACACTCCCAACAGCCCATGAAGCAAGCACCGTTATCCCTGCTTTGTAGATAATGACCTTGAGGCTTTGCTCCAAGCCCAGCCCCTCTCTGAATCACCACCTATACCTCCCCTTAGAGTTCAGCACCCCTGCCAAAGTGGGGCCAAATCCAGACACAATGTAACATGGGGAGGTACCTGCTTAAAAAAGTTGTTGATGGTCATGGTGGTGGCTTTGAAATTGGATCCAACCCCATTTTCCTCCAAGGACAAGTTTCGCTCAGAAAGCCTTCTGGATTGGGACAAAGTCCTCCGCTCCCCCACAGAGCTTCTCCCTTCCAGGAAAACAGTTATCATTCTACAGCACGCCCTTCTGTTTGAGTACACAAGCAGTTATTAACTGTGCCATATATACCAGTACCATTTGCTGTTTACTCAACTCTGACTCATAGTGACCCCATGTGTGTCAGAGTAGAACTGTGCTCCATAGGGTTTTCAATGCCTGGTTTTTTTCGGAAGTAGTCAGACCTTTCTCCCAAGGTAACTCTGGCTAGACTGGAACTTCTAACCTTTTGTTAGCAGCTGAGTGCACTAACCATTTACACCATCCAGAGACTCCTTACCACATATAAGATATATTTAGAGTCATTGAGAAGGAGCCCTGGTGGCACAGTGGTTAAGCACTGAACTGCTAACCGAAGGGTTGGTAGTTGAACTCACCATCCTCCTCGGGAGAAAGATATGGCAGTCTGCTTCCGTAAAGATTACAGCCTTGGAAATTCCATGGGGGCAGTTCCACTTGTTCCTATGGGATTGCTGTGAGTTGGAATGGACTGGACGGCACACGACAACAGCAGCAAAGTCGTTGAACAAGAATGCTGAACACGGCCACGTTGTTTTGGATGAACATTTTTGGCCCCTACCTTTCCTAGTCCTCCTGCTGGAGTCCCTGTGCACGCCCCCTTTGTGTCTAAGCGTCTAATCCTACCCTTGCCGGAGCGGAGGGGCCATGAGCAGCTCCTCCCACATGGAGATCAGGGTAGACCAGATGCCACCAGCAGGACTCCCAGCCGCAGCCAGCCAAAGTCTGCAGAGATTGCTCTGCTTGCTTTTATTTTTATATTTGAATTCCACTGGAAGAGGCATATACTCAGATGGCCCTAAAGGCATTTGGGATTAGGACCCAAACAAGGTAGGGTCACCGCTGGAACCTTCTGAACCCCAGCTCTCCTCTGCTCTCACTCTAAACTAGGCAGCAGAACGGGGTCCCTGTCTTGGTTGACCTGCCCAACGGGGAACAGAACCCTGAATGAAACCCTGATACTCCGGCTGGCACCCCACACTCTGCTTTGTTGTTTCTCATCCCGTTTGGGATAAATCTTGTTGCTTTTATACTGTAACACTCAGGGGTTCTGTGGTCAAATTCCTTACAACTCTAATATTGCCAATCCCTGTCTTTGACTATCCTCTTATCCTGGATTCACACCATGATGCTGAATTGGAACTTCCTGTCACCAGTGCCCACCCAAACTCGCACACTGCTCCAGTATCATACACTGCACCTTCTGATTGCTTCTTAAGAACCAGCCTCTGTAGTTGGGTTAATTCATCCTTCAGCTGGCTTCCCCCTCCTCCCTCCCTGCCTGTGACGGAGGTCCCAGCATGCCCTATGTCTGAACCTACCCTACTTATACTGGCTTCTAAGCTGTATGCCTGACACTTTCCAATAAAACTACTGGGGTCTACAGAGAAGTAGGCATTAAAAAAAAAATTGCAGTGTGAAGGTCAGGGTGCAAGAAAGTGAGGTTTGTTACTGACAAGTCAGAAATAACCCAGGGATTCTCACTGGTAACTAACCAAAAGACAGGAAGTTTCAGTCCACTCAAAGGTGCCTTGGAAGAAAGTCCTGGCAATCTACTTCTGAAAAATCAGCCATTGAAAACCCTATGGAGCACAATTCTACTCTGACACACATGGGGTTGCCGTGAATCCGAATCATCTGGACGGCAACTGGTTTTACTGGTTTTCATTATGCACCAATAACTCCAGAATAGCAGCAGCAATAACAAAATATCCTTTCCTCCACTTCCCTGCTACACGGCAACATTTCAGAAGTGGCAGAATGAAGGAATGCATGAGAAATGTGAACCTAGACTTAAATATTTGTGGACACCAAGGCATTTAGGCAAACAGAAACTCCGCCACAGGTGGTGGGCTGGGTCTCCTTGAAAATTCTGACACCCTGGCACAGCTCCACGCCCCAACTGGAAAGGAAATGAATGATTCAGATGGAGGGTGAGGGATGAAGAGGAGAGAAACGTGCTGCATATATCGGAACAGTAACAAGATATTCTTTTCTTTTATTGCACTTGGCAAATGAACGGGAAGGGACTGGATGTTGTGCCGAGAAGCCGAGTTTCACTTTTTGAAACCTTGAGATGGTTGGCTTTCTCAGGCATAGGGGTCAGCCATGGCGCCTTTATCTAATGCACTGATTACTAGACTTTCTTGTCATTTTCAAGAATTTTACTTTTGAGGGGGTGGCTACTGAAAATTAATGTTTTAAAGTGTCCATCCATCCAGAACATTCCATCCAAAAATCTTACTGTAAATGAAGAGTATATGTAAGCTCCACAAATGTTGGTGATAGCTTTGTGGACCACTGTCTAATCAGCCACACGGGACTCAGTCATAACCGTGTTTCATCCTATCTACTTTTCATTCCCCAAATCCTATCATTCTCCCCTCATCCCCGCAAAAGCCAAACCAGTTGCTGCCAAGCTGAGCCCGACTCATGGCGACCTCATGTGTGTCAGAGTAGAACTGTGCTCCACAGGGTCTTCGATGGCTGATTTTTTGGAAGTGGATTGCCAGGCCTTTCTTCCGAGGTGCCTCTGGGTGGATTCGAACCTCCAACCTTTTGGTTAGCAGCTGGTCGTGTTAACAGACGCACCACCCAGGGACTCTACTGCTTTCTGAGCCCCACTAATGAGCAGTTGACCTTGGAGTTGGTATGAAGGTTGAAAATCTTACCGACTATGGCCTCCACATCGGTTACCTCCCTGTCGAGGGTGGAGACGTTGAAGAAGCTGCTCAAGCTTATGGGAGCCCAGGCAAAGGGCATCCGGTACTTCCCCAAACGCTGGCAGAAGGACTCCGCTTGAAGTTTTAGTTTTTCAATCTTGTCCTTACTCTAGAGAAAAATGGAAAGAGACCATCAAAAACAAGCAATACGGTATCAGCCCCAAGTCTACTGCCTCTGACATGGATATGACGGCCATCTCTGAGATGCCCTGGTGGCACAATAGTTAAGTGCCTGGCTGCTGACCGAAAGGTTGGCGGTTCAAACCCACCCAGTGGCTCCATGGGAGAAAGACCTGGCGATCTGCTCCTGTAATGATTACAGCCTAGAAAACCCTGTGGGGCAGTTCTAACCCTGTAACGCATGGGGTTGCTAGGGGTCGAAAATTGACTCGATGGCATCCAACAACAACAAGTAATGAAAAAGGACCAACAGGCAGAACCTGACTTGACTGGGACCGGAAGCCTAGCTGGTAAGGAAATAAAGATCTTTTTTTTTTTTTTTTTAAAGAGAGGCTACATTCAATCAATAAATTACACCTCAACTTAAAAAAAATATATCCAAGGCTTGTTATCCCAGCTGATCAATGAATGCTTCTTCTGGGAGTTAGCTACATGATACGGATTCCCATGGGGGACTCATTAGCCTAAAAAGTTTTGTATATTATCTGCCAAGCTCCCAAGCTAACCCGCTTTAAAACAGTTGCCTCGGAGAACTCCAAAAAGACACATAAAGGTTCTTAACAACTTCCTTATTAGGCTGACAATACTTCCAAGGTCTTCTTTCTAAACTCAGAATAAAAGGTCAATTGTTTTTTAAGTCTTTCGTTCAACAAGTCTTACTTGAAATTTGAGTCTGTAGCAGGATGCTGATTTTAAAACCCCAAACCCATTGCCGAGTTGATTCCGACTTATAGTGACCCTACAGGACAGAGTAGAACTGCCCTACCGGGTTTCCAAGGCTGTAAATCTTTACAGAAGCAGATTGCCACATCTTTCTCTCTCGGAGTGGATGGAGGGTTTGAACTGCTGACCTTTTAGTTAGCAGCTGAGCATTTAACCACTGTGCCACCAGGGCTCTCGGGTGCTGACTAGGTAAGTGCTATTAGAGAAAGACCAGGTTTTTAAAATTATATTTGGAACCTTTGCAAATTAACGCCCAGAACAATGTCCTTTACACAGGCTCCGTACCCACGTGGTGCTAATGAACTTATGGTGTACACTACCAAAAAAACCGTTGCCATCAAGTCAATTCCGACCCATGGCGACCCCCTGTGTGAGAGTAGAACTGTTCCATAGAGTTTTCATGGCTGTGACGTTTTGGAAGCAGATCACCAGGTCTTTCTTCTGAGGTGCCTCTGAGTGAATCTGAATTGCCAGTCTTTCGATTAGTAGCCACGTGCTTAGCCTTTTGTACCACGCAGGGACCGTGTGCAGTGATCTCAGCCGCTCCCCATTACCC